ACAAGAATGTCTAAAGATTTCTTTTCTTCTAGGATAAAACCAGGGGTTTCCATAAGTGAACATTTAATATCTTTAAACAAAATAAGAGCTGAGCTACATTTAAGGGGGGAGGTGATTTCAGACCAAACAATGAAAAGTGTTATCATAAACTCACTTGACCCATCATGGGACAATTATATGTCACATTTAGACACAATCAATCTTGGATATTTATCCATAGAAAGTCTATCCAATAAGTTAATAGCTGAAGACAATTCAAGGAAGAGCCGCTCTAACAATCACATTGAACATAAACCATATAGAAAAGTGGTTTTCCAAGAAAGATATAATGAAACATTCAGATGCCACAATTGTGGATCCAGGGAACACAATAGAAGAGATTGTCTCAAAATTACAAAAGATAGACATAGGTCAGAACACAGAAACAAATACATCCATAGACAATCTTCCATTGATAGACATAGATATAGAAGCCCACCAAATTACAAAGAATATAGAGGGGGTAGAGATAATTCAAAGGACAGAAAATCTGGTTCACTAAATGGACTAAACAAGCAAGACAACACTAACATACAGCAAACTGAGGATAATAATTGGCTTATTGATTCTGGAGCAACCAATCATACTACTAATAATAAAAACATACTATCTTCATTTATAGAAGATAAATTTGTAATAAAGGTAGCCAACCAAGAAAAGGTCCAAGTATTAGGAAGAGGAAATGTAACCTTGCCTGGTATAGGAAAAATAGAGGGGGTATTACTGATACCTGAGATACCTCATAACATATTAAGTGCCATAAAACTAAGCAGAGATTCTGATATTAATATTGTGTTTTCAAAAGGAAAAGCAACTTTGGAGAAAAATAAAACAGATATAGGTACAGTAATGATTAAAGGAGGCCTACCTTATTTAATAACTAAAGAGAAATGGTTACACAACATTGATTCAAATATGGAAGATTGTATTGAACTAGATAATGAAAACATTAGCAACAGTGACAATGATGAATGTAAAATAGCTCATGATAACAAGGATGCACATAATGAGAAAAAACCAAAAATAGGTAAGCCAATTCATGATGAGTGTGCGCATATCTTACATAGGAAGTTAGGACATGCCAGTTTTCCTGTAGTACAGAAAATGACTGAACACGCAGAAGGTGTCAAAATAAAAAATTGTGAAAACTATTTGGAATGCTCAGTATGTAAATCTACAAAACTAAAAACTAGTCCCAGGCCTAGAAAATCTACAAGGTCAACTAACAAGATTTTTGATTTAGTACATACGGACCTGGTTGGTCCACTGACTCCATCAATCATTTATAAAAAACGTTACTTCTTAACTATTGTGGATGACTATAGTCGCTATGGATTTGTTTATACATTAAAACACAAAGATGAAACCTTTCAAAAATTTAAAGAGTTTTACAAACGCGTAGAAACACAACACAATATCAAAATAAAACAAATAATGACAGATAGGGGATGTGAATTCATGTCTAAGGAATTCTCCCAATGGTTGAAGGACAGAGGAATGTTACATTACACATCTAGCCCATTTTCCGCGTTCCAGAACGGAATTGCAGAGAGGAAGAACTCAACATTACAAACCATGATTAGATGCACATTGGAAGATGCTGGCTTAAGCAAACAATTCTGGTCAGAAGCCCTACAATATTCCAATTACACACAAAATAGAACTTGGTCCAGCATTGTGAATAAGACACCATATGAAGTGATGTATAATAGAAAACCAAAACTAGCACACATGCACATTTTTGGAGTCACCGCAGACGTACACATACCTAAACAATTAAGAAGAAAGGGAGAAAATGTGTCTAGAAGACTTAGATTTATGGGATATGAGACAGGTACAAAAGGATACAGATTCATTGATAATAATAACAAATTTATAGTTTCCAGAACAGCTGTGTTTCATGAACAGGCCAACTGGTCTAGAATACATCTTAATGAAATATTCCCAAACAACAACACAGATACTAAATCCCAAGAGAAAAGAACTGTAGAAAAGCAAAAGGACAACGAATATAAAAACAAAACCAAAACATGGACAAACAGTCAACACAAAATAAAGACAGATACATTAACAAAAAAGGAAGCAAGATATTTGCATGACAATAATAGTAAACCCGAGAAGCCAATTAGAAACACTAGAAACCAAATGCCAAATAAATATAAAGATTATATAATGCATATGGATGGAGAAACTATGACACCTAGCACATATGAGGAAGTGTTAAAACTTCCTCCTAAAGAAAAAGAAAAGTGGGAATTAGCAATGACAAAAGAGATGGAAAGCTTACAAGGATTAAATGTATTTACACCTGCGATTGCACCAAAGGACAAAACAATTATTGGCACTAGGTGGATATATAAAATTAAAAATTTAGAGGGAGGCAATACTCTATATAAGGCTAGATTAGTTGCACAAGGTTATGCACAGAAATATCCAGAGGACTATACTGACACTTACTCCCCCACAATAAGAACTGAAAGTGTAAAAACGGCTCTAGTTGTAGCATCAGCACTCAATCTCGATGTATTCCAGTATGACATACAGACTGCGTATTTACACGCAAAATTAGATAAGGAAATATATGTAAGGGCACCTCACAGTCAATATACAAATAAGAATGAGATTTGGCTATTAAACAAAAGTCTATATGGGCTAAAACAATCTGGTAAACGATGGTATGATTGTTTAGTAAGAGTACTAAGAACTATGGAATTCAATGCTACCACTGCTGATAATTGTTTCTTTGTTAAAAAGGGTAATGATTACATAGAATTTGTATTGATCTATGTGGACGACATTTTATATATAGGTAATCACAAAGAAAGAAGAGAAACATTTGTAACAAAGTTAAATGAACATTTCTCATTGAAATCCTTAGGTAAAGTAAATAAGTATCTTGGTGTTCAAATTAGTAAGACTAAAAGGGGATTCAAGCTTTCTCAGAAAGATAAGATCACAGAACTTTTGAACAAATGTAACCTAAATGATGCTAAACCCTGTGACACTCCAATGCAAACTGATTTCCTAAGAAATGCTGATGAATCATCCCCTGAATTCAAAGATAACACGTTCTATAGATCAATCATAGGTTCACTTCTTTACATTTCTAATTGGACAAGACCTGACATCGCTTTACCCCTTAATTTATTGTCCAGACATGTCAGCAAACCAACTATGTATCACTGGGAAGCTGTTAAAAGAATATTAAGATATTTTAAAAAACACATTAGACTTTTGCTTAATGTTAGAACCTAATAATGTCAAGGAACCGAAACTCACATGTTACGCAGATGCAGATTGGGCTGGAGACACTTCATGCAGAAAAAGTACATCTGGTTACCTATTTCTCCTAAATGATTGTCCAGTTTACTGGTACACTGGCAAACAAGATTTAGTGGCCACTTCAACAACAGAAGCGGAATATGTTTGTTTATCTAAAGCAGCAAATAACCTTGTATGGTTTAATGATCTGATTTCTGATGTTTGGAAAAAACCTGCACTACCTTTTGTCATGCACGAAGACAATAAAGCAGCCATTGAAATATCTAGATCCGACGCCATTGGACAGAGATCTAGACATATAGACATAAAATTTAAACATGTAAGACAATTATCTCAAGATGGATTTATTAAGGCAGTGCATTGTGAGACATTGGAACAGTTAGCTGACATATTGACAAAGCCTTTGCCATCTAAGCAACATAAATATTTGACTTCCAAATTATATGTATTATATTGTTCTGAATCTGAATGTAATAAATGTAGCATATCGAATCGGCATTTAGAGGGGGATTTGTCACAAGTAAATGCCTTATTCTCTAATGTGTAAATAGTATATGAACGGGATGTCAGGGGTTAATTTATTCTTCACTTCTTAATGTATTCATACTTCACCACTCCCATATCTAGCTCCACCCATTGTATATATAAGGAGCTACACACACTCTCTTCTTTGCTTCTATCTGTGAATATTCAGTGGATATAGAATGCCTTATGTAAATAAAAGAAAATATATTTGAACTCTTAACTCTCTCATAACTTATTGAGTCTGATCCAGAAAATATTGCAACAGTAACGTTGGCCAAAGCTAGCAATGCTAAAATGGTTTATTTTTTAAAAAAATATTTAAAAATATTTTAAAAATAATTTATTTTTATTGTTTTCATGACCGCTGCTTCTTAGAAGAAGAAAAAAGACCATTGCAATTACACAAAGCAAGTGTGTTTCAAATCAGTTTGACTGGAAAAGCCAATAAAGGTTCAGAGACTCAAGGCTCGCGATCAGATGTTTGCTCAGAAAAATTACTTGAGCGCAACGGGCATTACTCCAAGCGTGGTTTGTTGCAGCGCTGCCATCTAGAGGAACCCGGAAGGTGTACCTATCGGTGGGTTACTCCAGGATGCAAAGCGTACCGTAAAATGATTGTACTGGAGGAGGTGGGAAGCGTAGCGCTGCCGCTAGTGTTCAGACAAAACCGTGTCTGCAGAATGCTTTATTAAGTCATATAACTTAAGCATTACATATTTCATAATATATTTATATATTGCACGTGTGTGTGTGTACATGTGCGTATAATATATTCCATGTACACGCATTCTCCTAGCATCAGAGGTCTTCAAACTTGGCAGCTTTTAAGACTTGTGGACTTCAACTCCCAGAATTCTCCAGCCAGCTATGCTATGCTGGAGAATTCTGGGAGTTGAAGTCCACAAGTCTTAAAGCTGGCAAGTTTGAAGACCGTCCTAGCCGAAGAGTAGGGCATATCTGTAAACCACAACTTCCAGCATCCGTCGCTTTTTCGCCGGACCTGCCGGGAGTTGGAGTTTCAAGGCGCTTCTGAGGCGACGGGGGTTTCCCGTGGTCGCCCCACGCTAGTCCTTCCTCTTCCTTGAAAACGTTGTCTCTCAGCCGAGGCGACGGAACAGGGGGAGGGGGAAAGGCGCGCGCTTGCGCGAATGACGTTGACGTCGTCGCCGCCGGGTTCGGTGTCACGGGTTTCTGCGTGAAGGAGGCGGAGCTCTGGAGGAGGAAAAAAAAAAACTGGAGGGGGCAGGGAGAGTGGAAGGTCTGGCTGAATAAGGTGACGGCCGCGGGGTGGGGGGGCAATTGTGGTATCCTTCCCCCTGCCCCTCGCCCGCGGGAGGGTCCTTCAGCCGCCGCGTCTTCTCTGCCTCCGTCCCCCTCTCGCAACCTGCAGCTTTCGCTTTCCTGTGGGGCGAGGGGCCGCCGGGCCTGCTCCCCGTCTCCCCCTTTCAACGCCATCCTCCCGTCTTCACCCGGCAGGGCCAAGGAGCATCTCGGGTCTCCGGTGAAAATCGAGAACCTGAACCACCACTCTTCTCCCTCGGCGGCTTGGGCCCGGAGCCTCCAATCCGGGGGAATTCTCCACCTCCCTTTCTCCACACACCCCCACCCCCACCCCCACTCGCGCGCCTTAATTCTGCCTCACAGGTACGTTGGGGGGTGCGCGCGCGCGCGTATGTGTATGTGCACGCGCGCGGTGGGGGGGCGGGTGCGCGCGACGAGCTGCGGTGGGGAGGGGGGGGCGCACCGATTCCGGCGCCTGTTGAAAAAGTGTGTGTGTGGGGGGGGTTTAGAAGCAAAGCAGACGTCCTGGGGAGGTTGGTGCGCTGAGGGGGGCTCCAAGGATGGTTGTTTTATGGGCTGTCGCCGCTTTCCGCAGGTATCGGTTTTGGATTACAGAAGCGACCGCGGAGTTCTGAGGGTAGGAAGTCGCTTGAGTTGTGATTTGAGGGGAAAAGATTTGAGGGGAAGAAAGATCGAGGTTCGCTTGCGTTGCTTGAAAAGAAAGGAGAAGGGGGCTACATGAGCTGGCTGACTTGTACTTGAGGTGGTGGTGGTGGGGGGGGATGTTTGGTATGAGGAAGCAGTCCTGCTTTGCTCACTCCCAGCGTCTTTCTCAATAAATATAGGTGTCAAAAGTCCTGCCCAGGTATGTCTTGCACGTACGTTTTTTTATGTCTCATAATTGAGATCAAACTCTGCTACTAAATGGAGGAGAAAGCAATATCGATATAATGCTTGGCTGTCAACAGTTAATAATTGTATATAAGTGGCCCTATTTATAGGGGAACCACATTTTGTTTTGGAAATGCCCTGCATGTTTTCCCTGCCTCCAGTGTCCTGCTGATTTATACATAATATATTCTGAGAGAATTATGGGCTGTTGTACCAAGAAATAACGATTTTTAATGTTTGATTATCTGCAGTTGCCTCTTGAAAAAACCTCTTTGGTGATGGGCAGGTGGTTTTGAGTATTTGAGGAAGACTGTTTAATCCATCACGAAAGAAGATGGAATTCAATTTATTAATTTAAAAACAAGATATAGAAATAGATTAAAATTAAGGCTCAACGGTGTTATAAACTACTGTGAAAGATATTTTGGGTGTATAATGAAGATTATCCATGAGAACTGTACTCGGTCAATTTTGATGGTGATTTTGACTAATAAAGTTTCACTCAGTGATTTTGGAAAACAGATTACAAGAAAAGGTTATATTTGCTTAAGTGGTTTGTGACATGATACTGCCAGTGAATACTGGTTTTATATAATTTGTGCTATTTGTGATTTGTGCTTTTAAGTGCTTTTCTCCATGTATTATTTGAAGCATACAGTCTCCGGAGACAACTGCTTGATAGATTGTCCCCAGATTTAGGAGTTTTGCCCATCATTGCATATTTGTAAATGGAAAAGAGAACACTGGGTTTCTTTTGCCGTGTGTTGTGAAATGTGGAAATACATGCAAGGAATTTCTCTGGCTTCCGCTTTTGCTTGACAAGCAAATTCTTCCAAGTTTGCCATAACATTGTGGGTTTGAGGATCAAAGTCTAGAGATGCTGACCACATTTTAAAGATATTTATATTTCAGGTTCCTTTCTCATACTCTCATAGTAAAAGACACTACTAGAAGCTCAGTTTAAGATTTTTTAAAAAAAGTATACCTAGGAAAATTAGTTTAAAAATTACATGTTGATACACTTTTGATACCTGGAATAAATATGCAAACAGTATCTACACTTCATAACGTGCACTTTAACATAGGTGGTTTTTTTTATCAAGTAACTTAGTCTTCATAGATTAGCCTATAAAGTAATTGATACTGGTTTTGGTAATTATAAGTAGGCCTATACAAGCTGGTAGCTCTTTAGAAGGGCTTCCCCTGCCAGATTGTAACATTCAATTGTTTTACAAGAACAGTACAATCCTCAGATAATCGGGCCGTAAATTGTTTTATAGGTTAAACCAGCATGTGAAATTTAGTCCAGAAAGCAGTCAGTAGCTACCAGAGGTCTTTTAATAAGTATGCAATGTGATATTAGCTTTTTAGCTTTTTAAGTGTAAATTGGGTTTTAATTGGATTGTTTTAAATTGTGGGCCAAAGTTGTATAATTCTTTTAATTGATTTTAAATTTTGTATTGGTATGTTTTTTATCTTTGGCTGTGCACCGCTCTGAGTCCAACAGGAGAAGGATGGCATATAAATTAAATGAATGAATGAATGAATGAATGAATGAATGAATGAATAATACTGTCTAGGTATAGCTAAGCAGTTACCATATTTTACTGCAAAAATTTCGGTGCTCATTTCAGTGCTCTTTGAGGAGAGTTCTTTGTAGTAGTCCTTGTGTAAGCAGGGTATAGGTAACTGTTATATAATCAGATTGGCCCGCAAATGGGCACACACATAATTGTTTAAGGCCCTCTCTCCTCATTACTCTCCTAGAATAGAGTAAGATGAAAGCATCCTAAATCTTTCTCTGCAAAATGTAAATTCTTTCAGAGCAGGTGGCATCCCAGATAGAAAAAAAGCCAGTAGCTTTTTACTAATCAGCAATATTTCTGCCCAACTTGCACTAATTTATTTTTTTGAAGTCCATTATCAGATTTAGGCAATATTCAAGATAACTTTTTAATAGTTAGGAGAAAAAGAGCAATAATGTTGAGCATTCAAACAAGGAAGTATTTGGCTTATACAAATAGTCCTCAATTTACGACCACAATTGGGACCAGAATTTCCATTGTTAAGCAAGATACTTGTTAAGCAAGTTGCACCCAATTTTATCATCTGTTTTGCAACAATTCTTAAGCGATTCAATGCAGCTGTTAAGTGAATCATGTGGTCGTTAAGCAAACCCAGCTTTCCCCTTGGCTTTGCTTGTCAGAAGCCATATGGATCGTCACAGACAGCGATCACATGACCCTGGGATGCTGCAACCATCATAAATAAATGTCATAAGAGTGTGGATTGGTCATAAGTCACTTTTTTCAGTGATGTAACTTTGAACAGTTGCTAAATGAATGATTGTAAGTCTAGGATTACCTGTGATGTGAGGTTACTTTACTTACCAGTATGGAGGTTCCTTTGGCAAAGATCCCCTAACACTTCACCTGCCTACCCTGGATATGACAGTGACACAAACTAAGAATCATGTTGGCTTGGATGTCACCTGGATTAATAAGGTCCGCATCAGATATTGGAGAACCAGGACAATCTGACCATAAATGGGCTACTGGATTAAGCCATACATGGACAATAGAAGAGAACCTGAAATTGGTGGAATGCTACTACAACAGTAGACCTGATGAGATAGGATGTATGAAACATATCAGGGAACTATGGAAGGACAGAAGACCTACATAAACGCTAATTGAGAAATAGCTAGTTATCCAATGCTTCATCATAAGTGAAGAGAAAGCTGCTCTCACAACTTGAGGTGGATGAATTATACATTACACCCTGATTCAAGAAGACCTAGAAGAAGAATTGGATGTGCAGCCAATACTTGAACCTAGAATGTCACTTCCACCTCCTCCATTATAAAGCATAGCAATAGATATGAGGCATAAGAGGATAAACTAGTGACAGTTGAGACCAGTTATCAAGGCTCGGTGGAAAAATAATACCAGATAGTATGCTAGAGCAGGAGTCCCCAGCCCCTAGTCCGCAGCCTGGTACCAGGTTGTGGCCCATTGAGAACCAGGCTGTACAAGTGGGGGGCAAACATGGAAGCATGCAAAGCTCCAGTTATGCAAATGGCACATGCTCATGCAAAACCATCCTCTCTCACCCCTTCCTGCTGTCGCCATTAGTCCACGGAACCGGAAAGCTTGGGGACCCTGTGCTAGAGGATGCCAATAGATCCCTCATGGCAATCCCTACTACCACCATATCTCAAACCTACTGAACTGTTATATACTACATAATTGTTTCAAGCTCCATTTTATATTATAAAATATGATTAAATCATGTTAAAATATATATTCCATATTTATATGCTTATATTTTCTGTGAGTATTCGGAACAAGTCTCTTGCAACGTTAACTCTGTACATTAAAACAGCAAATATGGTATGCAATTTTTGTATTCAAGTCCTCTTTTTCATCCTAAACGATATCTGCTAAACAGATATATCTTATTTACAAGAATATCCTTTGCATATTTTTATGATTTGGAGTAAGCCGCAAGACATTATCCTGACTTTCTTCTATATTACTTCTTCCTTATTGATGTAGTAGCACAACTGAAAATGAAGCCAACACAATTAGCTTACTCCTGCTTACCTTAGTCAAAAGTAAAAGAGTAAAAGTAAAAGAGCTTTATGTTTATAGCACCCTTCCCCAACTTGGTGCCTGGCAGCTGAAAACTGGCAGAGATTTCTGGAAGTTAATGGTCCTAAGATTTTGGAGAACTATTTCACATATTGATCTTGGTAAAAATTCATGATGATGTGACTTGCCAGTTATCACATGACCTCACAGTACACTTGATTATGTACAGTATGAACAAATCATAAGCATTACATTCATTCTTTAATATAATTGGAAGACATTTATAGTTTTCTCTTCCACTTAATGACAATTTATTGTTATCTAGATACAGCACTATGGTAAAACTCAATTATGGTTACTCTTAGAAAATCAAGTATTATGGTTTGAAACTAGGCTTAGTTATCCTGGTTTATTTTTATGACCGTTGCAGTGTCCAGGAGTCATGTGACCTTCTGACAAGCAAAGTCAATGGAGAAGCCAGATTCACTTAACAACAATGTTATTAACAATTGCAGTGATTTACTTAACAACTGTGGCAAGAAAGGTTGTAAAATGGGGCAAAACTCAACAAATGTTTTAGTTAGCAACATAAATTTTGGGCTCAATTGTGGTCAGAAGTCAAGGACTCTGTGTGTGTGTGTGTTTGTGTGTATACAGTGCATTCAGAAAGTATTCAGACCCCCTTTACGTTTGTCAATTTTGTTATGCTGCAGCCTGATTCTACAGTTGTTGAAATTCATTTTTTCTCATTAATCTCATCAATACCCCATAATGACAGTAAAAACAGAATTTTAGAAATGTCTATACATTTATTAAAAAGAAAAAAATTGAAATATTACATTGGCATCAATATTTAGACCCTTCACTCACTACTTTGTT